AAGGGGAACATTACCACAGATTCTACAGACATGAAAAAGGATATTAACAGGATATTATGGATAAGTTTATGCCTATCCGTCTCACAGCTTAGATCAGACAAATTCCATGGAAATCACAACTTAATGAAACTGATATAAGTAGAAATAGAAAATCTCAAAAGTTCTACTCTAAGAATGTAAAGTTTTGTAAACGAGAAATCCATTATTCTGGGGATCAAGTGCACTAACACTTGCTAAACTGAAATGCAACCTCAGGATTAAGGTACTATTGACCATGCCTAATTTTTACATGCTCTCAGAAAGAATTCGCCATGCTGCAGCAAGGAGTGCAGTTAGCCAACAGCGTCCAGCTGTTAATGTCTTCAAGCTCCACTTCAGCTTTAAATCCCAGTCCATGTTCTTCCTGGGAAGCTCCAGCCAAGGAGGGAACACAGCAGGAGTACTGTGGCCCAACCACTTCTGCCCCATGCAGGACTGATCTAAAGAGCAATTCTTGCTCCAGGGCTCCCTGTTGGGTTGGCCAAGACATCGTTAGATCTGCAATACAGTCTGGGGCTCTCCCTACTCAATCCTGCTTCTTCTCCCTTTTACCTCCCACAGGCACGTGAATGAATATGCATACACAAGTTTTTGTGGTAACATATGTTTCCAATTCACCTAGGAATGGAATAGTTGACTCACATGGAAGCTTGAAGTTTAACTTTTTGAGGAACTGTCAAACTGTTTCCCACAGCAGCTACTCTATTTTACATTTCCACCAGCAATTGTAAGAGGGTTCTAATTTCTCCACATCCTCACCAACACGTTATTATCCATCTTTTTTATTATAGTCAACCTAATAGGTATGAAACGTTGAGGTTTTGATTTGCGTTTCCCTAATGATGAATGATGCTGAGGCTTGTGCAGTGGCTCAACACTTGTAATCTCAGCACTTTGGGAGGCAGAGATGTGAGGCCAGAAGTTCAAGGCCAGCCTGGGCAACATAGCAAGACCCCAACTCTACAAAAAATTTAAAAATTAGCTGGGCATTGGGGTGTGTGCCTGTAATTAGCTACTCAGAATGAGGCAGGAGAATTGCTTGAGTGCAGGAGTCCAAGGCTGCAGTGAACCATCTCCTACTATCATCACCTTGGGGGTTAGGATTTCAATATATTAATTGCAAGGGACACAAGTATTAGCCATTTGTATATCTTCTTTGGAGAAATGTGTCTTCTGACCTTTTACCCATTTTTTTTTTTTTTTTAAGAGACAGGGTCTTGCTCTGTCACCAGACTGGACTGCAGTGGCACAATCGTAGCTCACTGGAGCTTTGAACTCCTGGGCTTCCACCTAAGCCTCCTGAGTAGCTGGGATTACAGGCACGAGCGACCATGCCTGGCATTTTTACCCATTGTTAAATTGGACAATTTGTCTTTTTATTGTTGAGTTGGAAGAGTTCTTTC